CCGGCTGGCAGAGGGCAATGAGCAGGTTCTGATCGCCGACTTTTCGCAGTCTGCCTCAGTCCCCCAACAAATTACTCTTCCATATTTAATTTAGTAAGACTGTCTTCCAACTGGACGACTAAAGATTAGCAAGCCATGGCACCATGTGCTCTCGAGCACCTCATTATAAACTTCTGGAATTATGTTTTCCTTTTCATTAATGATATTTAAGAAACCGGTCCTTCGACATAATTTTGTGAAAAATATTGACTTACCATTTTCCGTAAAACCTTGCATCTGAAGCGCTGCAGTCCGATTTTAAAGCGCGGTATAGTATGAACTTATATAGCAAACCTAATTTGTAGGAAACTGATTGAATTGATTCGCAGGTAATATTTTTATCCGCGTTGTTTCGTTACGGTTGTTTCGCGCCAAGCTCTTAGTGGGTCTAGCTAGCATATAGCTCTTAAAATACACATCATGAATTCCATTTTGGAAAAGCGACAGAAATACCATATAGAAGAACAAGAAGGCATTTCACAGTCGTTTGCACTTGGTGAAGTCAAAGATGAAGAACATGCGGCTGAAGGGGGAAATGAAATGGAGGCGACCGATGAGGAAAAGCAGATCCTTCGTGAGGCAGCCGAGTGTCTGAAGACCATTGGAGTTTCGAAAGCTTTTGAAAAGCTCCAGACGTTGCTTGGAAAGTCTTCGTTTTATTCACAGCTGATTTTGGAAAAACTGAAGAAGGAAGACGGAAAAGCAAAGCGGAAATCTGCCCTTCTCCGAAAGGTAATTGTTCTGCTTCCGTTCTCGAGCTTAAATCTTTACCTGGTGATTGGTAATGTTAAATTTTTGAAGTTTCTGAAGATTTTACCATAAAATTTGCCTAGAATTACTGCATGTTGCGTAGGTCTTGTTTTGTTGTTGTTTAACCTCGGTCACGACAAGTTAACCTTTCTCTCACGACTCGAACCGGACGATGTCTCACCGGACGATCTTTCAGCTGAAGTACTAGCAGCATGCTAAAGTTTTTTAAATGGGATATAGCCGTTTAGACAATGACATTGCAGAGTGTAGGGGTGTTCGGTATTTGTTCAAATCACCCCTGCATGAGCAGAACGTCTTTGGTTTGTGATGTCCGCTGTATTCGCACTTTTCTAGCCCTTTTACTATAAAGCAAAACTTGTTTGTGTTACTGTATAGCAGAAGAAAATATACTACTGAAAGCAGATCTGCCTATACCTTGTTACTGCAGTTTACGTTGCTGGCCTTCTGATCCATGTGTTCCATGTTTAGGCGCCATACGAAGCTCAAGAGCTCGAGTGAATGGTGTATGCTTAACCAGATTATCTAAAAGAGCCAATCTCATTTCCTTAATCTGTGCATCTTCCGAGGTCATTTTTGTCCGGAAGAGAATATAGTCCTTCATTACATGATGATAACATTTAACCCCCATTTGGCGTCGTAGGCAACGCGCTGTTCAACGAAATTTCTTGCTTATTCGTTACAACAACTGTATCTATACCATAGAACAACACTGACCTCACGGAGATGAAGTACAGACGAATTTTCCTCGGAACGGTAACTTCTTTCTCAGACTAAATATTGGACAGGATCCACTCACTTAATTCTGGTTGGATAGTGCCTCGCTAAAGATGACACATTCGAGATATTTAGATTGGCAAACCTCCTGAAGTGCTTTATCTCCCTGTTCCACTTGTACATCAGCAATGCCAGATGGGTTCCTCATAGCTTTTGACTTAAAAACGTTAAGGAAGTGGACGGCCTTCGCAGCTGTATTGCATTCGAAAACCATCAGGTAACAGAGACTGCTTCCGTTACTACTCACCAGGAAAATATCATCTGATTAGTCCAGGCCATCCCAGTCCTGCAAGATATCTAGCCGGATATCTTGAACTGCTCCTTCCCTCTAGAATGAGAACTTAGTGTTTGCCAGAGTCAGCACTGCTTGGAAGAAGAAAGTCGAGAAGAACGCTGAATAGCAAAGGCGTAAGTACATCTACCTTGTGAGTTATATGGTAAATAGGGAACTATTCAGATGGCTCTCCTTCAGCTTTGTCAGCAGACATGGTTCTTGCATACATTTCTTTCAAAACAGAAATGATTGCAGAGGTACCCCAAGCGTCTGACGCTTGGACGATAAAATGGATCAAATGCAACAAATGGAACAAATTCAGGTCCAGGAAATTAGCAAACCAAAGCAACTGAAATCGTCGGCATTGCTTAGTGATCCCATGCAGAGTGATAATTTGGGCAATGCAGGAATACCTGATCCACAAGCGTACTTATTTTG